TTGTACACTCAAAGAAAAAGAGAGGTAAAATTAACCAAAAAGAGCATATAAAAAGGCGTCATACATCTACTTTGGTATATTTTACTGCTTCAAAATGGTTAACATACTGTTATCATATTGACTGTTGAAATGACTGCAAACAAAGTTATCGTACCAATTATACTGGTACTTGACAAGAACATTTGTAGGTATACTGTAAAAAGTGCTTGAGGAACTAATATTTGGGTTCATTAACAATGTTCTCGTTTTTTCAACAATTTTGTAGTTGTGTAACGATGACACTGTGTTTCAACTATACTTTAGTTAATTAACTGACTAAATGGTCTATTATAACAAAGTTAGCAGTTGCTTTGACCATGCATTTTTTGTCCGTCTGTCTGATTACAAAAAAAACTTTTCTAGAATAATTGCTCTTTATTTTGGAATAATCATTATAAGTACACAGAAAATACAAAATACAAATAAACAGTTACCACTGTGGTAAATAGAATACTTAAATATAAGATTAGTATGTAAATTAACATAAATACACTTCATTATAAATGCTAAATATGATTAGGAACTAAAGAGCTCTTGTTGTGTTAAAAATATTTTGGCCGAACATAGGTTTTACCATTTGGCGACATATAAGTGTGAAGTGGTGAATAATAATCAAAATGAGAAGGAGAAAACATAAAAAAAGTGTCAGTGGATTCTGTAGTAGGTAACAAATATGATTGAAAATGATTGCAAAAATTTCCAAGTTTGTACTGTGAACATACGAAGTATATATTTTCGTTACTTGTAAGAACAATATCCACAATTCTATATAACTGCAGTTTTTTTGTTAACAAGTAATAGTCAATAGCATATTGAGTTCCTTTATATATGATGTCTTTTTTAAATGTCATAATATCATCGCCTATAATATTGACTGCATCTAAATTGAGATTTTTATAATAAAATTGATCCCGGAGATTTTGCTGTTTAGTGGATTTTGAATTATATGCTATAATATTCTTGAAACCATTATTATTTAACAAACGATAAGAAAATTTTAAAGAACATTTAATGCCAATGGTATAAGGGATATTTTTACGGGAATTCGTATTATTTGTGTACATTTTTAGCTCGCGGTGTTTTGATTCAAAACGGAAACACCAGATATACTTGAGAGGACCTATTTTTTTTATAATTGTTGGATAATGCAGAAGGAAATGAAATTTTGGTTTTAGGGTATTTCCAAACAGTTTCACATACTGCAGATGGTGTTGTTCAATTTTCAATGTCATTAATTTTAAATCTGTGTCATTAAATTCGGTCATTAATATTAAATCAATCATTTCTAATAAAAGACGTAATAATTTCCAGTATTTGTTATTAATGGGAACTAAATCACCGATGATAAGAGGAAGGAAGTGACAAAATGTCCACATCTCCCTGGCCGACATATGCAGCTTTAAGTTAGTTAAATGATTTATTTTTATAGGAGGGGAAATGTTTCCAATTTCTGTTTTACCATAATTAAATAGTTGTTTTCGACTATTCAATATTTTTAGTGAAAATAGATGATCCTTTTCAATCAGGTGGGTTAGAATTTGGCATACATCATAATGACAGACTCCTTCAAAGAGGTCATGCATTATGTCGACGGCATAGTTATTCACGACATGGAATGAATCAATGGTATTGAAAATTGAAATTTCCCGTATACCACTCTGTTTAGCCCTATTTTTTACTTCAATTTCATTCGAAATATCTTGTTGATAATTTTCAATGGTTCTAAATTTTGAAAGATTTTCTTGACAGTCGGATTTAATTTCACTTTGATTACACTTACAAAATCTGCATGGAAAATTAGCGCTGAAACTTTTCGTAAACCCTAATATGGAATTCAGCCCCAAATTGTCTCCAACAATAGCCATCAAAATATAATGAATCTGATGACCATGTACCATTAAGCCATCTTTTTCTAGTAACTGTATTTCTTTAATTAGTAAATTCAGGGTTGCATCGTTTCCGTAACACTTATCAGTAGATTTAAATAACAGAGCTGTAAAAATATTTTCTAATGATGAAACATGGTGCTGTGGTAGTGTTGGGAAACTGTAATAAAATGCAGCAATTGACTGACTGCCAGCATGTGAACCAAGCGCATTATTTATTTCAAAATCATCAAAATACAGAATGTATGGAATCAAAGTCTTATTTTCAAATTTTGCCTTTTTTTGTTTCCAAATTTCTCCATTTATTATATTATGTATTGTAGATTTTTGTGCAAGGTTTGTCATGTTTTCAATAGTGTCTTTCAATACGTTTGGCAACTCAAAAAATTTTTGAAATTGAAACTGTAGTGGCATTAAAGCGCCTTTGCTTGATTTAGAATCTAAACAGGGTGTACTATTGAGAATTATATGATCAACTTCATTATTGGTTTCAAAAATTTTTGGTTCTCGATAGAGGTCCCGATTTTGAAGACTTTTTGTGTACTTGTGATAAGTATTAAAATTGCAAAACGGATCCAGGCAGAAAGCCAGAAGTTTATCTATTTCACCATTATTATTATTCGTCGTATTAAAAATGTTACTCAGTTCAGTAATAATCGTACCCAACAAATTGTTAGTAATGTCGTTAATAAGTTGGTCGACATCTTTTCGGGCATAATTTGATTTACTGTAAAGTTTAGTAACAAATATTAAAGCAGTGGCTTCAATGTTCTTTAAAGCTGATGCTAAGTCATATCGAACATTTTCTCTTTCCGAGTTACCTACAGAAGAATCCGTGTTATTTTCATGTTGACTATATGATTTTTCTAATCGATTTATTGTATCTGACGATTTATTTATACATGATTTATTATTACCTTTAAAGTGTCTTTTGAATGCTTTTAAAGATTGATAAGTATGACAACAGTCAAGGCAGTAAAAGTTGCCATACGGTGTAAAACTATGAAAAAGTTTAAAATGTTTGATAAGTTCATCCACTCCATCAAATTGATTAGAAACACTCCCTGCGTTTTGCTTACATTTGTAACACTGAGGCATGTTAATAGTAAAATAAAAATTAATTTTTTAAATCGTTAAGCAAACAAAGTAAATTTGAGCACGGATTATCTTCCGGCAAGTGAATATCAAAAAAATATTTTTGGATAAAGATCCACGTATTTTGACCACATCTTGGATACTTCAAATTTAACACATGAAATATTTTAAAACACGAATCAAGAGCGGCTAAACAATTATCAAATTTATACTTTATATCATCATAGAAAACATAATAACTATTAATATGTATTAAATCGTCACCTACTGCTACTATTATAGGTTGAAGTGTTTCTCCTCTTTCTAGTAGAGTTGATTTTAATTCTTCGATTTTGTTGTCAAAGTCATTAATGGTCCGCGTGTGCAGAAAGATCGAATTTTGTGAGTCTTTTATGGTTGCTTTAATGATCAATTTCTTGTTCTGTTGATTTTTCTTTACATGCTTTATTGTGGGCGGTAACACAGCATGAAGAAGCAGTGCTACAATTACGTCAATAATTTCTGAAAGACAATTTGTTACATTATTGTAATAAACAAGATTAGGAAATTACCTTCAGTGTGATTTAGACTATTTAAATATTTCATTAACGTTAAATTTTGCTTGTCTTTAATTTTAGTGTTATAAATTGGAATGATTTTATTTTTAAAATATATCCAATTCCTTATTAGTCCATAAGTTTTGTCCTGGTATATCGAAAAAAAATCTTGTTCAATCTAAAAAGTGGAGTAAATTTATATATAATAATAATTACAACCTACTGTTAAGCAGGAGGTAGTAAGTATACTGTATGTAATTATAATAATAAAAAAAACATACCAAATTGAAGCCATGAGAATTTTTTAAAAGAGGCCAGTTCGCTAAAATAGACGTAATTCGTGTTTCTTCTGTTTCTTTCAAAATCTCACTTCTTCTCCTTGTAAAAGTCTTTCGCCAATTTTCTTGAACGTCCGTCCAAGGGGAATTATTTATCCGAAGCCAAGCAGTTAAATTCAAAATTTCTAGTGCCATAAAATATAAGTTTTCAAGTAATTGTATTACACCTGTATCTAACTACATACCATCGTCCGTTATATTCTGATCATCAATTACACCAATATTTTCGATGTTTGCGACAGTACTTGTTCGAGGAGTGATTGGAGATTGTTGGATTAAACCAATTTTTTTGAGGCGTTTTGTGTGATTGTAATATTTGTCATACAATCGTCCCGATGGAATTTGTTTTAGTCCCCTTTTCTTATAGTAGATAAACTAAAATGAATTATTTGATAATGTTAGTACCACACCAAATAGTACAAAATACCTTATCATCATGAAATCTTTGCTCTATTTCTTCGGATATCCTTTCGAATCCTTCTCTTCTCAGTTTTACATTATTTTCAATATGCCACGCTGTAATAGCATCTACCATTATTTTACGAGCTGCGTCATTGAGTTTTTTATTTTTCTCGAATACTAAGAACACATAGTTACCATTAGGGAAATTCTTTAGGGCATTCTCCAATTGCTGCAAATGTTATGTAAATTATATGATATAACACTACATGAGCAAATCATACAAAAGTTCTGCCAAATGTAGATTCCACCGATGATTCAGATGACGAGTTGGCTGCGTCAGTGTCAGTATTTATCCATAAATTTGTGTAACTATTTGAGTTACAAGGAAAATCGTTGGGTATGTTCTATTAACAAATAGTTTGTACACATAAATGTTGACATTTACAAAACTTACGTTTTCAATTTTCCATCTGGTAAGGCGATGCCGAAACTCTACTTTTATACCTAATTTTTTCTCTTTAAATAGTTCATTCAAATCCGCTTCAGTTAGCAGTTTTAGGCGTTCAATGGTTATATCCTGATCTGTAACAATAATTTCCC